GACAATGAGGGCAGATGATTCTCTTTCAGGATCTCGTTGGATAATTTTTTTTACAGAGGTAGCGGTGTTCAGTGCTGCATCTTGCTGAGCTGGCTGTGGCACCATCGTCCAAGAACGCACAGTCTCCTCCATTTCCCAGGACTTTCAACCTGCAAGAGAAGCAGAAATTAGGCAGTGAAGAGTAATCCCCACATAGCAGTAAAAAGGTGTCTTGAGTTATAGTTCATTGGGGTAAGCCTGGCCTGGCCTTGCCTTGCCTTGCCTGGTGCCCTCTAGAAATGCTGGACTGGACTACAGCCACCATATTTCCTATCCCTGGGACACAATGACTGAGAATAATGGAAGTTGTAGTCCAACGTGTTCAGAAGGCACCATGCTGGGGAAGGCTGAAGCCGTTTACTATCTACTCTAAGGAGCAGCACTCTCGAAGACGTTAAGGAGGTTGTCTGTCCCACCACCTGAAGATCCTTTGACTTGCAGACATTAGGACAGGGCTTGGATACGATGTGCTGTTCCTTGCAGCTTCCTTTGCAGTTTTACTTCCTGGTTAACTCTCAGCTCACTCAAACCAATGCACCAATCTGGTAGCATGCCTGCCTAGGTGAACATGTCCTGATTAATGTAACTAACTCCCATGATAGGCTTGGTTTAAGCCTGAATGGGCAGAGTCATCATTTAAGGGAAAGTTTGCAGGGCAAGAGTTGCTGGAGAGTTGACAATAATGAATGGCTCTTATGACCCAATATAGGGAAAATTAAATTACTGGAACATGGCAGAATGGCATGCTGATGGGGAACCCATTGCTGTATCTTCCCTATTTTTTCCATTTTCATTGTTCTCACAGAACTGTGTTCTCCAACATGCAACTTAAGTGGGCAATGCTCTTGTTGCCCAGTTGCTTGGGAAAGAATCGTTTAAGTGCCCAAGACACCTGGATGAGCTGAAAGAGCCGTTGGACCATCTGCCTACAAAACCTTATCTTTCTGAAGGTGGCAGAAGCCTGGGAGAAGGGCATTATGTTCAAAGCGCATAAAGGCTCAGCCGAAGCAGTAAACCCATCAGAAGATTAATCTGACACACAACATATTGGAAACTTTCTCATAAACTATTCTCTGGCCTTCTCAAAGTGTCCTGTCACTTCCTCGGTCTTTAATTCTCAAAGATGATTCTGCAGATTGTTCTCCAGCTCATTTATTTGGAAGTGCTGATTGTACATCTCTGTTCTAAGACCTCAGATTTCTTGAGTTCAACTCCAAGTGAATACTAACAAGATATCTGTAGCACATTCTGAGTTACATTAATAGGGTCAAATCTGTGCACAGGAAGATACTGGAAGGTCCTGCCCATCAACTATATTCTGGCCTTAAAGGGTCCTTCCTCTCTCTTTAGGATTTAGTTCTCAGAGAGGATTCCAAAAGTTGTTGCTCAGCTCATCTACTTGGGTGTGCTGATTGTACATCTGTGTCCTAGGAACTCAGCATTCCCGGGCTCAACTCCAAGCAGAATTCTGAACAAGATATTTGTAATGCATTTTGAGTTATGTTAGCAGGGCCAAATCTTTTAGAGGGCAACTCCTGAATACTGGCAGCCTGGAGGCTCTTGCTAACATCACTCTGGAGCTGGAGAGAGCCTCACTGAAGAAATTTCACTTTCAGCTCTTGCCACTGAAAGGGAAAGAGGAAGACTCACGTTGAATTTTCTCCATCTAGCCATTTCCAGGGCTGATCTGGTTCTCTCTTGAGGCCAATCCAAAAGATATTTTTATTTATGAGATTCTCCACAATATCCTTTAAAGACAAAAGCTGTGCATGTTAGAACCTTTGCATTGCTAGATTCCCAGCTGAATTTCTGAACTTACACATACACTTAGACTGAAAAGACTAAAACCATCTTCTGAACAGTAGTCCAACCTTAATAAAACATAGCTAGTACTTCCTTTAGTGAGAGACAAAATGGGAGTACTAATAGAAGCAAATATGTGTAGCTCAGGGTTGAACTGTGGAGTCCTTGGGGTTCTCTGGGCTTGGTTCTTTTCTTGCAAACATTTCATTACCGGGTTAGGTAACATCTTCAATGCTGGAATGGGATGGGAGACAATAGAAAAGAAAACAAAAGACCAGAATATCTCCTCACCACCAATCATCACTCAGATAAGTAGAGATTACTGTGGAGTCCTTGGGGTTCTCTGGGCTTGGTTCTTTTCTTGCAAACATTTCATTACCGGGTTAGGTAACATCTTCAATGCTGGAATGGGATGGGAGACAATAGAAAAGAAAACAAAAGACCAGAATATCTCCTCACCACCAATCATCACTCAGATAAGTAGAGATTACCACCAGGCACACAAGCAAGCAGTAAACAATACCCTAGTTGATGAATTACCAGAGGAACAAAACAAAACCCCCACCCCCACCAACACTGGCAGGGCACGCCACGGTATATAAACAGAGAGCAAACCCCATCCCATTCCAGCATTGAAAATATTACCTAGCCGGGTAACGAAAAGTTTGCAAGAAAAGAACCAAGCTCAGAGAACCCCAAAGACTCCACAATGGGATTACTGTAATGTCACCTTGCATCTTGTTAACTTTTTTGAAGTAAGTTTTAAACCTTCAGTAGAAGGTAAAAACTCTTTGATTTTCCTAGAATGGATCTTGCCAATGCATACTAGCAGAACGTCTGCTGTTTTTACTTTTGGGGTCCCGATTCTATCTCTGCCTCTGAAATTCACATTTCTTAAGCTTTTGGGAATAGTTATCAGATGTTTCCAAGTTTGAAAGCAGAAAAAATGAAAGCAGCAGATGTCACTGACTTATTTCAATGAAGTTTGGACTGATATTCTTGATTTTTTTTTTTTTAATTTTGTGTGTCAGCAAAGCTTGCTTTGTGAAACTGGCATTTTTGGGAACCCGGAGAAGGTCTGAAAGGTTTCTAAGGCTCTTGTTCAGAAAGGTATCCAAGAATATATTTTTTTAGTACTATTAGGAGAAAGGCCTTCCATTTTTTCATGGTGTAGAAGAGCAAGCACCATCAATGAAGCAATATTACTTCTAGGGACTGATTTATGATGGCCAAAACCACTTTGTTTCTCACCATTTCCCCATCTGTAATTTTGGCCAGGGAAGCTCCAAGTGAAATACAGGCGTTCTGACTCTCGGTCCAGTTCTTTTCCTCTTTTGAAAATCTGTAGCAGTGTCCCTGATGTCCAATCCAGGCAAGTGGACATTTATTCTCATCCTCTTGGCAGTTTGATGGCACTAATGTTCCTAGAACAGAGAAAGATGGAAAGAATAGACTCTGACTGATCCAGCCTCCTTCTTATGGGAAGGATGGGACCATCCTGCTGAGTTAGAACCTTTGTTAGTGAGTTCTAAGAATCCCCAACGTGGATAAGAAGAACCAAGTTTTAGCTGCTGTAATGACTTCTGTCCTGTAATCCTCAGATTAATGGAGACTGTGGAACTGAACAGTGATTTGCATGCTGGATTTGGACCAGGGAAACCAGATGCAAATCCACCTATTCAGCCATGAATCTCTTTGTGGGATTTTCCACCAATTTGGTCAACCTATCCCACATTTAGCCCACCTACCTCACATTTACTGCTTCTGGCAGGAAGTCAGTAAATAAATACATGTTTATCTATTTTACATTTCAAGATTTGCTTCTACTACTGTGAGCTGGCAAAACAGACTCAGTTCTTTGCTATTTATAATTCATTTTCCTGCCAAGTTCCTTAAATCACTATTTCTGCCCCTCTCAGTAGTGCCAGATGGCTATTTCTTCCCTCTGGCTATTTCATTCTGGATAAATCTTCAAAAACCAAGTCTCAGCTGAGCTAGCAAAAATTGGTGATACTTTCAACCAAGCACTGAGACTTGTTTCAAACACAGGAGCTGAAGGTTCATGGACTGGACAATTAGTTTACAGTGACTAAAAACCAGGGCAAGGCCAACCCTGTGTGTCTGTCCTATCTGCAGAGGTCATCCAGCTTCATGAAGTCAAATGAGAAGAAGCTTTTCAAAGGAACAACATTAGGGTCTAGATTCCTTACCCAAGTAAAAGAAGAGACCATGGCTGAAGATGAGGATGATGATGACAATTACGAGATGACACTTTCTGAAGGCACAGAAAGCCTCGCAGAATGTTGGCTGGGAGGTGGATTCTGACCGGCGCAATATCCCTGGATCAAAGGGAGATTGTGAGATTAACCACATGTACTCCAGATGGTGGTTCCTTCTAAGTAAACTGCAGAAATGGAAAAGTTTTTGCATTCGGCTCGGGAGTCAAGCTGTTGGGAATCCTGGAATTCCATCTATGCTCCTAACTGCGGTGGAGCCAATATAGACATTAAGCTTTGCCTTCCCCATCTCTTAACTACTTTAGGAAATAATTAATTTCTAGATGAAAAGAGATTTCCTCTGCAGTAAAGATAAGACTCCTTGCAGTGAGTTAAACCTTCTTTCAAGATTACCAAAAAAACAACAACAGAGAGAGACTTTGATATAAAGACTCAAGAACTCTTTGCAAAAAGCTTAATTATGAGAAGATGTAAGAAAGTTTTAAAATGAATGAGGGGACAGTCTTTTTTTCCTATTTTTTATTTTTAACATCTTTGTTTTTGATTAAAGTGCTTTGGTATAAATTTATAAATAAAATAATGACAAATTATGAATGGACCAATAACAATAGAGAAGTTTCAGAAGCTATTGAAAATAGTAAACTAGGAAAGGTGCCTTGACCAGATAGATTATTGAGTTTGTATTATAAATGCTTTGAGGATGAACTCTTACAACCTCTATAAAACACAATGAACTCTATTTTACAAGGAGGAAAGATGGCAGAGACTTGGGAAGATGCTAATATAGCATTAATACCTAAAGAGGGACAAGATTTAACTTTAGAAAAATATTATAGACCAATATCATTATTGAATAATGATTATAAGTTGTTTATAATTATTCTAATTGAAAGACTGCAAATAATTTTACAAGAATTTACTCAAGAGGATCAATGTGGGTTTTTACCTAAAAGACAGTTAAAGGACAATGCTAGAATTAAGTTGGATATTATGGAATATATTGAACAACATAATGAAAAATAAGCTGCAGTGATCATTTTAGATGCAGAGAAGGCTTTTGACAATTTGAACTGAACATTTTTTTTTAATAAAATTTTTTATTCTTTACAACAAACACAAGACATACATAAACAAACAA